AGCTTAGAAGATTGTGAAAGATGGCAGTCTATGGAATAAAATATTAGTCTGTGCCTCTATTTGTACTATAAAAATATAGGGTTCTTTCTGAATAAAAATTTTGATTTAGCAGTGAATAATGATTGTTCTCGTTGCCCCTCGGCTAAGCAGTGTAGAATGATTTTCCCTAGAAGTATGACTAGGAGTGACAGACCTTTATTTCTTTTGCATATGAATGTATGGGTCCCTATAAATTTTTTACTCATGATAGAAAGCATTTATTCTTGACGATTATGGATGATAATTCTAGATATACTTGGCTTCATTTTCTTCAAAGGAAAAGTGATGTTACAGTAGTTTTACAAAAGTTTCTTTCTAAGAACTCAATTTGACACTACATTAAGACCATTAGAACTGATAATGGTAATAAGTTCTTTAGTAGGTGATGCACTAATTTGTTTGACGCCTATGGTATTATATATCAGAGTAGTTGTATTTATACTTCCCATCAGAATGGGATAGTATAGAGAAAGCACAAATACATCTTATATACTACAGAGTATTAAAGGTATTGGGAGAATGTGTAATTGCTTGTGTGTACATTATTAATAGACTGCCTACTGCTATCCTGAATGGTAAATCACCTTGTGAACTATTATACAAACACCAACCCTCAATTTCTCACTTCAGAGTTTTGGGATGCTTATGTTATTCCACCACTATGGTTAAGGAGCACAAGTTTCAGCCAGGGCGACCATTAGTTCTTCTGAAACACAAAAGGGATACAAGTTGTTGGAACTTTACACTAACTAAGTTGTTGGTCTTTTAGGAGCATCTTATCTGTTCCTTTTGACGGGTCTTCCTCTACTTCAACTTTACTATTTTAGCCTTCCATGATTCTTGACTGGATGAATGTGTCAATTGATCATGAACCCTTTGAAAAAGTAGAAACTACTTATGTGCCTGTTGTGTCTGAAGAAACTAACATTGATCTTGTTCGTGTGGATGTCCTAATAGAATCTACACATGTTGCTGAATCAATAGAAATGCTTACAAATTGCAGAATCAGAACTTGAGCTTGAAAGTTCTGAGTTTGAAGCTCATGCATTGAGCAGATCTCAAAGAAATACTAAGGATCCTTTATTGTTACATGATTACCACACGGAGTCACTTTATATCCACTCTTTAATAATCTGTATTATATATAGCAGGCTTCCAACAAAGTACAAATTTCAATACTCACAAAACCACAGATTTTTATAGAAGCTTCACAGGACAAGAGGTGGATTGCAGTCATAGAGTTAGAAACCAAAGCCTTGGAGGAAAACAAGACATGGGAGATAGTGGATTTGCCCAAAGGAAAGAATGCAATTGGCTCAAAGTGGGTATACAAGATAAAGTTTAAAGTTAATTGGAAAGTATAAAGATATAAAGCTAGATTAGCTGCAAAATGATAAAATCTAAGAGAGGAATTGAACTATTAAGAGACATTCTCACTAGTTAAAGAAAATGGTAACTATGAGATATGTCATTGCATTAGCAGCTACAAAGGATGGAATATATATCAAATAAATATAAATAATGCTTTCTTGCAAGGAGATTTGTTGATAAAGTATTTGTACAATTGAAACATGCATCAAAGCAATGAATATAAAGCTTACTGAAGCCTTGCTTGATATAGGATACATCTAGACACTGTTTATTATTTTCAAAGAAGAAAGGGATAGAACTTGTGGGTATCTTAAAGGGATAGACCTTGTGGATATCTTAATATATGTCGATGATCTACTGAATATAAGGGTAGTGATCAATTCATTTCGGAGACAAAAGATACTCTCTACATTAGACGTTTAAATTAGAGGACCTTGGGAAGCTGGAAAATAATTCAGGGATAGAGGTGTTGAGATCCATCCATCCTACTAAACCATAGGAAATATGGACTTCAGTTATAATTAAGAGGAACTAAGCCAATAGCCACTCCAGTAGCTCATTATATTTCTGCAGATTTGATGAACATGTGGGAGTGACAGAGGATGACATATTAAAGGATGTATTTGCATACCAAAGGTTAATAGAAAGGCTGATATACTTGGCAATCATAAGATCTGATATTATCTTTGTTGTGCATTAAGCCACTTCACGCAAGCACCTAAAAATTTCCATTAAATGGAAGATATATAGTGAAATGGAGATATTAATAAGCAGTAAAGATACATATACTTTTACATATTTATCAGTCATAAGTCTTCTAGTCTTCTAGTGGATTGCTCTAGTGGTGAGCGCCCTCCACTTCCAACCAAGAGGTTGTGAGTTCGAGTCACCCCAAGATCAAGGTGGGGAGTTCTTGGAGGGAGGGAGCCGAGGGTCTATCGGAAACAGGCTCTCTACCCCAGGGTAGGGGTAAGGTCTGCGTACACACTACCCTTCATAAACCCTACTAGTAAGATTATAGTGGGTTGTTGTAAATCTTCAGGTGAAGCTTGGTGAATCACTAATCTCATGGAAGTAAAAAACATAGTAAATTATCTTAAGAAGTTCTCAGAAACAGAGTACAGAAGTTTAGCAGCAGCAATTATTTGGCTTTTAAGGTGGTTTTCAAAGAAAAGCTTGGGGTTCCTATCAAGCAACTAGTAGATATGTATTGTCGTTGCAAATTGCAACTAATTCTATTTTTTATGGAGAAACAGCACATATAGAAATAGATTGTCATTTTGTTAGGGACAAAATAAAGGAAGGAAAGATTAATACTAAGCACATTGGAAGAAATGATCAACGAGCAGATTTATAAACTAAAGGGCTTAGAAGGGTCTATTAGGTAAGTTTGGAGTGCTTAACATTTTGCACCCTCAAGCTTGAATGCAACTGTTAGAATAACTGACTGTGTGTAGACCATAGTTAGATGTAGCTCAACTATAGTTGGCCAGCTAGCACAAGATGTTAGAGTTAACTAATTAGTGGAGTTAGTTAATTAAATCATTTTCTCTTCTTCTCCAAAGTATCTTTCTCTCGACTAGCTTCCTCTCTACGCCATTCCTCTGCCTTAATCTCCATGGCTAAACCTTGAGTTTAGCTCAACTCACAGAGTACACTGGTTTTGATATATGCGATAAAACATTTGGAAAAAGATGATAAAGCATTAACTTAAAGATATTTTAAGTATGACTGAGAAACAATCTGGATATCCTGGTAAATTCATAATAGAGGTAATAATATTGCTAAAAAGATTGATGAAAATTTATAAAAGAAAAGGGAAGAAGAATCTCCTCACAATATTTTTAGTTGTTGATCTAAAAGCCAGATAAATATTTCAACTAATTTGGCATCCTATTTTTCAGGTCGGAGTTAATGTATTTTCTGTCAAATTTAATTTTCGAGTGACAAATCAAAGTGATTTTAAAGTTACAAAATTTAGTTTAATGACTTATACGTGGTAATGGGGACGTAACTTTATGATTGGGCCATATTTCTTTTTTCGAGTTATGACGGGCAGTTGGGCATAACAGAGTAGCATTTCGTTCGGTTTGTTGATAAGATATTATTTGTCACTTAAGATGCTGATTATTTTCTCAAATGCAAATTTGGTCCACTTTTATTGCTAATAAATATAATCATTAAGTTGACACTTACGACTGGAGCTGGGTGGTTGATGGTCCATTCATTTCTCCCCCTTTTTGTTACTGATGGGAGTGGGACCGAATTGTGAAGTTGGAAAGCAGCTAAAGTAACTATCTGGATTTCAGGATTTGAAGTCCGAGAATGAGAGGTTTGTGAATTGAATTCCACCCAATTCGATGTTTTCGACAGCAGGGAATGCAGACAAGGGAATTGTGCCGCCAGTGAAGTAAAGAGATCCAAACACTTAATATGAGCCTTACAACTGATGTTTGCAGGGTTTAAGAGATTGAACCATTAGTTGTTGGTCCCTTAACAGAACCATGGTTAAAATAAACAAATCCCGTCCATTAGTTTTTAAGCAGGACATTTATCATAAATTAAGGACTATATTGTGCAAACCTTACTGGAGTAAATCCCAACCCCTCCAAAAACAGCTTGAATTCAGAATGAGCAATCCAATATTTTGTAACCCACACATGTTTTTCCTGTATCCTATGTAAGAATCTAACATAAAAACACCCAACATGAATGTGTTAACCATGAACAAAATAAATATCCTAACATCAATCCCATGATTAGAGTAGTTCAAGACTTTATAAACAATTTTAGAAACCTTCTACAACTTATCTGAGCTAACTATATAATTCAACATGCTTAACAAAGGTTAGCTTTAATATCATACGAAAGTACTATTTCAATATCCAATTCAAATATTTACAATAACTGGTAGAGTACTGCAAATATTTTATGAATAATACTTTTTGGAAAACCTTACAATAACACACGTGGAACAATGATATAACTCAATCAAATCCATACTTATTTCACTCTTTAGATAAATGTGCACGAAATATCGAAACATTTTATCTTCTTCTTAGACGTGCGATTAAAATCATAAAAGAAACATTATTTTATCTCATTTTATATAATGCTATTATTATTTGATTATATATTATACTTCTCGTGTAATTCCACATATGTAAATTACTTTTTCAAAAGCTAAGAAATTAATGCCTAATTTCAGTAGGCGCCCTGATTTTAATCTGAAAAAAACCGTATTCGCACTCGGTGTGTTTTTATTCCTAATGAATTAAAAGAAACGTACACGTTAGTCATAAGTGATTAGTATGTACTCTCGCCTCAATATGTCTGTCTTCTAGTAATGAAAAATCTATGCAATTTAAGGTAAACAGCGAATTTAATATACTAAACCCCGTCAATTATTTATTAGTGTGGATATGAATCCGTGACTTATGACCTGTGAGCAACGACCAGACACGGGTTCCCCTTAATCCACCGTCATTTGCGCAGTGTATCACTGCTTAACTTCACTCATCTGCCCAAGTCCACGCGTTTCAAATCCCACCATTTTTCTTCCACTGTCCTTTTTATTTTGTCTTCTACTTTCCTTTTACATTCCTTCTTAGGTCAATCAATAGTGCCATTTATTTATCCCTACCTCTCTCTATAATAAATAAGTTCACATTTCACACTACTACTACTCTACTGGTATAAGTAAAGTACTCCCCTGCATCACTAGTTCCAACCGACAAAGACACAAACAAAATGGCGGAAGAAGAAATAGGGGAAGAGTACCTTTTCAAGATTGTGGTGATAGGCGACTCTGCTGTTGGCAAATCGAACTTGCTGTCCCGTTTTGCCCGTGATGAGTTTGACCATAACTCTAAGGCTACCATTGGAGTTGAGTTCCAAACCCAAGTTGTAGAAGTTGATGGCAAGGAAATTAAGGCCCAAGTTTGGGACACAGCTGGTCAAGAACGCTTTCGGGCAGTCACTTCTGCTTATTATAGAGGTGCTGTTGGGGCTCTCATTGTTTATGATATTAGCAGAAAGACCACTTTTGAGAATATCAAACGTTGGCTTGATGAACTCAACAGTAAGCCCCTTTTTCCTTTGAATTTTATTTGGCTGGCATCTAAAGTTGTCAACTTTTGCGGATTTCTTTTTGGACTTGGATTTGCAATGATTTTGGTTTCATCTGGATCCATTGTTTCGATGCAGCAAATGTGGTTTAAATTAGCAACTACATTTACTTGGGAACAGCAAATGTATCAAAACAGATTGTTTGGCCAGATATGATTCTGAAAAATGTAATAAAAACAAATGGCCTGCTATATTGATTATTTACTGGTAAGGCTATTGTGAGTAGCCTGATATATTTGAGACTAACTTTTACACATACAATTTTTAGATAATTAGGAACTAGTTGTATCATTATTTAGGATGGAAAAAGAGTCATATTCCTGTCTTCCGTGTATAAAGTCTACTGTGTGCTTGTGAAAAGAGGAAATCTGAATATAAGTTTGATTTATGCCATTGTTAAGGCTTTAAGGAGCATTGCTAGCTCGTCTTCCACTTGCAGTTGTGCAACCAGGATACTTCTGTTGGAAGTCCTGGGCTTGTCTGATTTTCATATAGCCGACCCCAAATAGTTTGAATGGAGATGTTGTTATTGTTGATGTTGTGGTAACTAAAAAGAGCTACTGTTCAAAGGTAGCGTAATGAATATTTGTTCTGTATTATTTGATTCCATCCCGTCAGTAGACATTTTGTCTTATCTGTTCAATAAGCTGGATCTATGTGGATCTTCTCGAGCACTGCAGCTCTGCGCATCCATTGTAGGATTCTACTAACGGGAACTCACAAATTTTGATAAATTCTCAAGTATTCTTCCTGAGGATTCTCTCAACTTTAGAACCATTTTGGATTTGTTTTCCTGTCCACTTTTGGTATTTCAATATTCGTGTTAGTATATAGTTTTAACCTATTGCTTAAATGGTAATGCAGCTCACTGTGATACAACAGTTGCAAGGATGCTTGTGGGAAACAAGTGTGATCTGGAGAACATCAGAGATGTGAGTGTAGAGGAAGGAAAAAACCTTGCAGAAGAGGAAGGATTATTCTTTATTGAAACATCTGCACTGGACTCTACTAATGTCAATACAGCCTTTGAAATTGTCATCCGCGAGATATACAAAAATTTGAGCCGGAAAGTTCTCAATTCTGATTCATACAAGGCAGAATTATCAGTCAATCGGGTTAGCCTTGCCAATGGAACCGACATGTCAAAGCAAAAGGCATCGTGCTGTTCCAGATAGTTTTGTTCCATAATTATTATGTTCATCTTTAGTCTCTTTACCTTTTTAGACACTTACCCTGCCCTGAATTTAACCTGGCAGTTTCTCAAGGGTGCATGTCGTGTTACGTTTAGTTCATTGCTGTGTTACTTGCAGTCTTGCAACGCAATAGCCCCAACAGGGTATAATTGTATCTTTACGAGGCAACAGAATAAATATATGAGAAAGGATTGAGTTTTGACAAAATTCGTGAACTTCTTATCGTTCATTGCAGACAATGACTTTACCACTGTCAAGCGTGTCAATTTAGCCCAACACCAGCCTGCGGAAACTCTTTGCCTGCAGAGAAAATCACTTTCTTCTCTCAAATTCTCTCTAAAACGGTATAAAATTAGCACAGCTCTGCCTACATACTAATTAGCTTCCGTAAAAAATTTTGGCATTAATTTAATTAAAGAAAGAAAAAGTTAAACACTTTACTTCAAGCTTTAAAGCTAAGTTCGCTATTAATAGTCGGTTTGGCCAATTATTATTTTTATTGGTCAAAAGTGTTTTTTTCGAAAATTAAGGTGTTTGGCCAAGCTTTTAGAAGGGAAAAAAAGTGATTTTGAGTAGAAGCAAAAGTAGTTTCTCCCAAAAAAGTATTTTTGAGAAATATATACTTAAAAGCACTTTTTAAAAGTTTAGCCAAATACTAATTATTACTTAAAAGTATTTTCTTAATTAATTAGTCAAACACAAACTGCTTCTCACCAAAAGTATTTTTTCAAAAACACTTTTGAGAAAAATACTTTTTAAAATAAGTTTATTTTAGAAGCTAGGCCAAATAGACTATAAATTTCCTTAGTTTGGGTTAAGCTTGTTAATCGGGCCGGGCCGGGCCAGCCCAATCACAGCCCGGTTCAGCCCGAGTCAGCCCGGTACGATAGGGGTTGGGGACGGATTGGCAAGGGTTGGGCGGGGAACGGGCGGGAACGTACACATTTTGGTAACCGGTGCCCCGGAACCCGGTTAGCCCGGTTACTGGTTAATCGTTACCGGGTTTTTACCGGGCTACAGCCCAGTTACCGTTGTCATTTTTTTTTTTTAATTTCTACAGTCAAATTCAAAAATGATCGTTGGGCAACGGCCATTTTTTGCAAAAATGGCCATTTCGGCCTACCCCTTTAAGAAAATAGCCCATCACCCCTAATAATTGATAAATTATAATTTTAACCTTTTAAAAACTATAAATAGCCTCCCTTTTTTATTTTTTCTCACAATTTGCTCTCTTACTACTCTAATTCTCTCTCAATTCTCTCTTGATAATATTGCTTATTGCTCTTAAATTCTCAATTACTTATTATTTCAAGTTTCATCAAATATTTACTTTAGTCACTACAAAATTATAATTATCAAATATAAAGTATTCAAGTGAAGTGTTGTATCAATATTCAATATCATCAAATATCAAGTATCAGTCTATCAACTGAAGTTTGATATCAAATTTAGTGTGGCATCCGGAATCCTGGTACACTCGTTCCATCTCTTTCTTTTCTTTGGTGTATATTTTTATTTTATTATTTAGAATTATTAATTTAATTTCTTAATTTAATTTACATAATTGATATATTTAGAGCAGCCAAAAAAGCGTGTACTAGTAGGGGTGGTAGTAGTAAGAGTAAAACTTCTAAAAAATCAAGAAGTGATACTGGTTCTTCTAGTAGCTTTACACATATTTCTGAAAGTTCACCTAAAAATTTAAATATAGATTATGAGCGACTTCAAGAAAATTATGGTATAGATGATAATTTAGATGATATTCAATCACCTGATAATCTTGAAACACCACCAGCTACACCTGGTAATGCTAGTCAAACTCAAAATACTAGGGGTGGAGGTCGTGGTAATACAGGTAGGCCTCCCCTCCCTATTAAGAGGAATCGAAGATTAAGAAGTAAGTGTTGAATTTTTTTTTGAAAGATTAGAAGAAGATAAAAATTATGTAAGATGTCAAATTTGTAAGAAAGTTTATAAACATGAGATCGGAGGTAAGGCAGGGGGAACAGGTCAACTTCGTAGGCACATGGTAGATAACCACCCTATTGCATGGGGTGCTGATGAGGAAGGTGGGCAACAAAACTTTAACCCAGGTACTGACAGTTTAATGGGTAAATACGATATAGCGAAAAATCGGGAAGAATTAGCTAAAATAATTGTTTTAGGTTGTTTACCTTTTAGTTTTGCTGCTTCACCATATCTTGTTACTTATATTCAAAGAATTTATAACCCTTTGTTTAAAGGTATTCCTAGAAGTACTTGTAGAGCTGATATCTTTCGGCTTTTTGGACAATATTAAATATATATCCGTTATTTGTTCGCCAGTCTTTCTTGTAGAGTTTCTCTTACTTCTGATATTGGTCGTGTTGTTAATAAAAATAATTATTTGACTGTTACATGCCAATGCCAATGGATAGATGATAATTTTTGTATGCAAAAATATATCATTGCTTTTAAATATAATGAAGATCAAAGTCATATTGGTGCATTTATAAGTAATACTATCCATGAAGCTGCTATATTTTATGATCCTGCAGAAAAAGTTTTGTGTATGTCATTTGATAATACTTCTAACAACAATGCTGCTATTACAATATTAAAATTGCATCTACACCCACCACTTCCTGAAATATTTCATGTTAGGTGTTGATATTTGGCTATAATTCCATATTTTTAGTGCATTACTTACCTTACACTTTAGGTGCTTTAATGCTAAACTATACTGTATTTGCACTTAATTGAGTCTACTCTATGTGTAGGTACATTGGAGATGAAATTGGAGAAAAGTAAATATTTAAAGTATAAATCATGCTCGAAAGCAACAGGAAAGAAGAAAGAAAGAATTGAGCAGAATGAAAATGAAGCAGCAGGCGTAGCAAGCCAAATGGCTCGTGTTAGAGTAGGCAAGGCGAGCTGTGTTGCGCGCATTGAAACTTGCGACGCAAGGGCTTAGGTGAGGTCAAGCTCGCGGCAGAGCTGGCGACGCAAGGGCTGAGGCGAGGTGGAGCATGCGGCAGAGCTCGCGGCGCATGGGCTATAGCGAGGGAGTTTCGGATTTGAAAAGCCTATTTCGTCTCCTTGTTGGGTTTGGACTTGGGCTTTTTCGTTTAGGTCTTTTTCTACACATATAAATAGTCATTAAATACCACTTTTGGGGGTGTTTTGCGACCAGAGGCAAGAATAGCACGTGGAACAACTTTTGGGGGAAAGAATTATCAAGTTCTACATTCCTTAATCTTTTCTTTGTAATTTATTTATGCAAAATACTTAGAAAGTTGTTACTACGAATATGAGTAGTTAAACTTCTAATCTGAGGTTTGATGGAACCTATTGAAGGATGAATTTTCCATTGCGTTTAATATAAATTCGTCATTTACTTTTCTCTACTTGTTCAACTATATTATTATTGTTGTTGGTTGAAGGGCCCTCAATTGACTGTGCCTATTTAGTATGTACTGCTCGAGAGAGAGTATGCATTTAGGTAGTTATTGAACAACACCACTCCTAACGTATTTGAGAGATCAATACGGAGGGTTTAAAGGCGGGATTAGAGATAACGAAACCTTGGTGCGATCATAGTGAGCGGTAAATTAGTGCCAGCTAGCGTAGTTCGAGAGAATACGTCTAGTAAATTATGGTAGTTGCGAGAGAGAGAGATACTCACTCAAAGTACTCATGATCGGTAGAGAATACTTGGGCGAATTTATAGGAACCGTAGCGGGGGAAATTCCGACAATAGGGAAAATCAATACCCTAGACCTTTCCAATCTTGTCTACAACATTTGCTTTGTTAGTAGTAAAATTACAGCTTTTCAATTACCTTGCTTTGAGTTAGTAAACCATCAACTCATTATTCAATATTTCTGAAGGTTGATTATTTGAATTCTTACGAAACTAGTGGTTGTGATTAATAGGTTAATTTCCTGTGGGATTCGACTCCGGACTTGTAAACCAGATTATATTTGCAACGATTGTTAGACCTCTTAGGAGGCATAGTTAGGCGAGTTGGAATTGTTGTTGTGTGCAAAAGTGGTAGCACAGAATTCCCAAGCCGATTTGGGGGGGGGGGGGG